GTTAACTTTAACATAAGGAAATGTTGAAAAGAAGTAACAGATACTCAGATGCATTCACAGTGCATAAAATATCTTAAAAATAAGTGTAAACATAAAATATCACACTGCATATTTGGCAAACAACTTTAACACCGCTATAGAATCAGCACCCAACCTCAACCTATTCACAAGAAACTTTAAAATTCATATACCCTTACACTCTACGCATTTCACATAAATGGTGAAATCTCACAAAATACCAACTTCACACACACAGATAAAAGAACCAATCACACACCATACCCAATTCATCTGCTTGTTATTACCTACAGACCCCAATATTTTGCCTTTTACCCTTGCTGTTTTCTATCTACCCACAATGATCAAGTGATGACAACCTATCTTCATAACCTCCTTTTCAATGGCACAGATGACCAATGCACCTGTTCAGCCTTTCTTTTCCCCTTTCCATTGATTCAGATGCAGATCACATGTCCATCTTCGTCTAAATCATTCAATACACACAGAGAGAGAGAGCGCATCAGGATTCCTAGTTTCCCTGCACAATTTATGGGGTTCTTATAAATGGGAAGCTTTGAAATGCCATCAGCTCCTCAGGTTCCCTGTCCTGTTATGTGGAGGATGCCACACATGGCTCCCATAGGCCATGTGGCTGTTCTAAAGCATGCACTGCTACATGAAACAGCACAAGATTTTGTAAATAAGTCTTTTAAGTCTGAAGTTTTACAATCAAGCTTGAAAGAGCCAGATATTTTGTGTAAACATTTAAAAAAGAGTACTTTTAAGCCTCCACAATTTGTTAATGGCTTGACAAATCCCCTTCAATCTTAAAAAATTCCTACGTTCTCTGAAATTAAAATCCCAGTGATTTCTTCTGTGAAAAATCATAAAGTGACTGAATATAGGAACTTGAATGGAAACCTGGCTACAACTTTAACCAGTAAACTCCTACTGATTAGATTCATATTAGGATAATTTTTAAGGACCTTCAACTCAAAAATATCATCATCTCTGTATTTTGGTGAATAAAAGAACAGCGTACTTTGGATTAACAAAAACCATTGTTACCAACATCCTTACAAGACTAACCACACTAGCATGGACTAGATCTCTAGTCCTTTAGGTCCAAATACACATGCCTTTAGCACTGAGCTGAATGAAAAGCAATGTCATACTATTGGGTTTTTTTCAGCCTAAGTATCATAGTGCACTACGAAAGAATGAGTCTGATATGCCTAATTTGCAACCAGCCACCAGATGGCAAACTGTTCAAACACAGTAACCATCACAATTATGCACCCTAATAGTTCAGAATTTTTAGTAGATATAACGTATTCTTTTAAAATGCAAATTTCTGCAGAGATTTTTCAGGATATTTAACTACATAGATATTTTATCTCTCTATATATTAAAGAAAGTTTTTCCTGCAGGGCAACAGTGACATTATCGTGTCACTCTACGTCACTCTGCTCCCCAGCCTCAAAAGAATCTCCAGAAGGGGAAGAGGTGGCCATGGCTCAGGGTTCTCCTCCCCCCTCCAAGGGGCACCTTGGGCTCCCCACTGGTCCCCAGCTACCCTGAAGGAGGACCAGGGAGTGGTAGCAGCAGCCCCTCACTGTGCTGGGGGTCCCCCCAGCGCTCCGGGACCCAGTGGGGAACTGCTGCCTCCGGCTGCACAGGCCAGGTGCAGTGAGGCTGCAGTGTGCCTGGAGCTCCAGCCTGGAACCCTGCTCTCCCCCAGCAAGTCTAGCATGCCAGCACTGTCTTGCTGTGGGGGAATGGCGAAAACCCTGAGGCTGTGTGCCAGAGGCCGCTTGCAGAGAAGTGCATGTGCTGCTGTGGAGAGGGCTGGGTCCCCTCCCATCCCCACAGCTGGAGCTCCAGGCACATGGCAGCCCCAGTGCACCCAGTGTGAGCAGCCAGATGTGGCAGTTCCTCGCTGGGTCCCCAATGTAGCAAGGAGCTATTACTACCATCCCCACCATCCCCTGGGGGGGAGCAGCCAGATGTGGCAGTTCCTCGCTGGGTCCCCAATGTAGCAAGGAGCTATTACTACCATCCCCACCATCCCCTGGGTCAACCCCGGCCTTCCTCCGGTGGCTAGAGGGGGACTGAGAAGCCAGGCTAGGCTGTGGCTGGGGGTGAACTGGTGGGGCCGAGTGGGGGGGAGGGCAATGGGGGGCTAAGAGGAGGCCAAGACTGGCTGCAGCCAGGAGTGGGGGAGCGAGAGCCTGGGGAGAGGGATTTGGGGCCGAGAGGCCAGGGGGGGGG